AAAGCCCCAAGATGGTTGCCTATCACAACGGTAATTCCGTCGTTCTCTTCCTTTCCTGTTGGGGATTTGTGCCCTCTCAGGGAGGGGTACGCTCGGGGAGCCACGGCGTGAGGAAGCTGCAGTGGGGGGGGTCGGGTGGAGAAGTGCACAAAGGTGGAGAGGAACGTAGAGACGCAGGCTGCTGGGAGTAAAGACCACACAGATGGAGAGGGCTCAGAAGCTGGGAACCAATGGTACTTGTTTCAGTGGCTCAGTTTCTTTTGCTTAGAGTTACTTTTTCTGGAAACCAGGCGTGCCTATTTGGGGGGTAGAAGAGTTAAGGTTTTGCTTTCCACAGAGGTGCCCTGCTGGTTCCAAAAAACAGCTTACAACGTTAAAACATTCAGATGTTAGTATTTGTGCTGTTTCTGAGGTGATTGTTCAACCTCTTATGAAGCCATATGCTGCTCTCCTTTATAGCTGAAGAAACTTGAAATTCCCAGGCCCAGAGCTTCAGCTTATACTCCACATTGCAGTGACTGCTGTCTGTTCTTACGTTTAGGTTATTTTCAGGAGAGGGATGATAAGTCGTCCTTTATTTACTGGGGTATGCCTGTCTTTTGCATTGCAATAATGACAAGCCCTTTTATAAAGTATTTGTTTAAAAAAATGAGGATTGTAGAACGAATTAATATACGATTAGCATTCTGCAGAGACTAAGTTATCATTTTTGTCATCTTTTAGTGCTTGTGAAACTGAACACGACAAAAGTATGGATATGGGAAACCAACATCCTTCTATTAGTAGGCTTCAGGAAATCCAAAAGGAAGTAAAAAGCATAGAACAGCAAGTATTGGCTCAAGTCGGTCTGCCGATACAAGAATTTACAATAAAACTGGAAAGGTTTCTAACAAACAACTGTTCTTGAAATAGACCCTTAACTAAGGGGAAAGAGACATTCCGGCAAGCAGGAAGAGGGGCAGCACGAACAGAGCGTCTTTCAAAGCGTGGTAGGCAAACCACCCACACCCGTTGATGACATTTTTGGGCCCATCTTTGTGAAGAGAAAATCGTGCCATTCTATACTGCGCAACCTGCGAACTGATGCAATCGGGCATCCGCGGTCATTCGAGGCTGACATGTAAAATGAGGAGACACTCGCGCGGAAAGCAAGGTATCGACACTTAACCAAAATCTTGCAGTGCAGAGTTAACCCCGCACCGCCGATGCATTCGAGTGCAGGGAAGCTGCTTTTCATTGAGTGCAATCAACTCTCTGCACTGAGTTGTTAAAGGGATTTGCTTCCGCAAGGAGATTTCTTTAACATGTTCAGCCTCAGAATGATATCCTGGATGCCTTCTCCAAATTCACAGTTACGCATGCTCGCGAGGTATGAAATGGCCCGAGTTTCTCTTCTCCACAAGGGACTCGGCTTCCTTAAAATTTCTGTATTCAATCCGTGTGGGTGTTGCATTCTGTTCCAACCTTTGAGAAGACGCTCTGTCTCCCTGTGCTGCCCTCTTCCTCCCAAGAGGCTGTGAATGTCGGCGCGTCCCTTCAGTATCCTACAGAGTCTATTCAAATCAGTTGTTTGTTCAGATGTCTTGTAAAGTCTGCATCGGCCAGACCACTGGGAAGCCAACTACACTTGCTGTCTATGCCCCTCTTGTACTTCCTTTTTGGATCCTGAAGCCTATCTAAAGAAGGATGTTGGTTTCCCATATCCATCACTTTTGCGTGTTCAGTTATCAAACACTAAAAAGATGACAAAAACTTGATAGCTTAGTCTCGCGAAGCTAATCTATATTCAATTCGTCTACAATCCTTCAAATCTCTTTTTCAAACAAATACTTATAAAAGGCTTGTCATTATTGCAATGCAAAAAACAGGCTACCCCGAGAATAAAGACGACATCATCCTCCCTGAAAAATAACTAAACGTAACACAACAGCCCCCCAGCAGCTCACTGCCAATGGTGGAGTATAAGCTGACTTCTGGGCCGGGAATTCCAAGCCTCAGCTATAAAGAGGCACATATGCCTTCATAAGAGGTTTGAACAATCCCACTCAGAAACAGCACAAATACCTAACCCATCTGATGTTTAACGTTGTAAGCTTTTTTGGAACCCCCGAGAAAGACCAAACGCGACAACTCTTCTACCCCAAAAGGCACGCCTGCCAAAAAGTAACTCTAAGTCAAAAGAAACGACCACTGAAACAAGTACCCATTGGTTCCCTAGCTCACTGAGCCCCTCTCCATCTGTTTTACCCCAGCAGCCTGCGTCTCTACGCTCCTCTCCACACTTTGCGTGCATTCCACCCGACTGGGCAGCC